TTGGGCAGCATGATTCTTCAAGGTTCTCTCAGCACTTGATCAGAGAAAGCAGGAAGATGGAGTTCAAGGTCAGCTACATGAGTTTGAGGCCAGCTGGAGCTATATGAAACCCTGTCTTAAAACTGCTTCCAACAGCCAACCAACCAACCTACCAATCAAACTAAACTCCCAAAATAATACCCCAAGAACTTTACCTTTCTTATCTGTAAAGTAAGACATGAATGGCACTCCTGAAAAACTTTCATAGAACAGTAATGCTTAGTAAGGGACAAACCTTCGATTCTGCCTTTATTGAAAATGAGCTATGATACTGTCTTATTGTCTATGTCCAATATTGCAGACCCTTGCTGATTCTATCTTAGCATCCCTTGGGATGTTACTGATTAAGAACCTAGACAATAGAGGTGTAAAGCTTTGTGGAAGAGTGCAGGCTAACCTTGGGCCTTTCATCTCTGCTGCTTGGCACACAGAAGATATTATGTAAGTGGTCTATGAATTTGAGTAATCTGGACAGAAGGAAAATCTGGGTATTTATTTCAATCTTCATGCCTGTAGTACCTCCTCAGCGGGGACTTACCTTAATCTGAGAGTAAGCTCTTTTGCTATACAGAGCTATCCTCAACATTAGGAGACTATGAATCCATTGTACTGTGTCACAGGATAGTGGCAATAATTGCCCCATTTTCTCTCAGACACAAGGCCCTGAGGATCCACTACCAGGTGGAATCAACAGTTCTTTGTGGGACCTCCCTCTGACATGCTTGCTGATCTCTCCATAGCAGTGAGACTCTTTGGATGAAGGCATGGCTCAGTGATAGAGTGTTTGCCTAGCACAGGAAAGGTTCCAGGTCTTTGGCCTATCATGGAGGTGTATGTGTGTGTGTGTGTGTGTGTGTGTGTGCGTGCGCGCGCGCGTGTGTGCGTGTGCAGCTTTTTCTCACTCCCCTTTCTGTAGTCCTGACTGGATAAGTGATTTTTTTCATGCTCCAAGGCATGGCTTGCCTTTCCTAAGGGAATGGCAGGCATAATTTTGCCCATTCCACTTTTATTTCTTTGACATAACAGGCAGGTTCAAAGTGCCTTCTTGGTATTTTCCTGACCATTACCCATCATGATCTGGCTAATGATGAAATGGGTCTTTAGGGATATAAAGTCTTTAGGTTCAGGCAGACTTAATTTAAAACATGACCCTACCATGAGACTGTGAACAAGCTACCTGAGCTCTTAAAGTCTAGAATTCCTTATCTTCATGAACTAGGTGGTAGAGAAAGGGCTTAGCATAGTCAGTGCTCAATACAGTAGGACCTGTGCTATTCTAGTCAGCTGCCATCCATTAGTATGTTTGCCAGTAAGGTGACACATTCTGTCTGCCAGTTGATGCTTCTTCATCCAGGGGCACCCTAGATGCTGTAGGTAAGTGTAGGCATAGTGAGCACTAGAGTGTCATATAAACATGTCTGTTCTTCTGCCATCTTCTATCCCCACCCTACTGACACTAGAATGTCACTGCTAAGCCCTTTCTGAAATTAGTTTAGATCCTAGGCCCTTGCTAACATGCTGTGTTCTTTAGGAAAACAAATACTTGATGTTGCTTTTCTTTCTTCCCTCCCTTCCACTCACTCCTTTCCTCCTCTCCCCCCCTTTCCTCACTTTTTTGGTGGGGGCAGGATAATGGGTGTTGAACTCAGGGCCTCAAGCAAGGTAGGCAAGACTCTACCACTGAGCTATGGCTGCAGCCCTCTTGATGTTCTCAGTTATCAATCTCAGTGTCAGTGCAGTCAGATCCTCCACAGAGCCTTTCTTATTTGAGAGAAAGAAAAGTTCTCAGGCTCAGACTAGGGGATTCTGAGTTAAACAACCAGGGTCATCTGCTAGAAGGCTGGTTTTCACTTGAATCTTGATCTGATTGTGTACACATGCATCCTACTTGTTGGTGTCTGAGAGGTATGCACCAGCAGCCATCGGAACTGTAATGGCAGCCAATCAAACCTAGCTCTCTGTGAGTTTGGAACTTAGGGCAGGAAATGACAAATACCACACTTTGCCATTTCTCGTTTTTGAAAAATCGTATCTGAGGTTGTTGAGATGATGTAGTAGGTAAAGAATGATTCTTGATTCACAAGCCTGATGATCTGAGTTTGGTCCTCAGGGATCAGATCACATGGTAGAAGGAGAGAACCAATTCCTGCAAATTGTCCTTTGATCTCTACACATGTTCTGGCATGTGCGCATCCGTGCACATGCACATGAATAAATAAATGTAAAAAATTAAATCCTATCCTGATGAATCATTTACAGTGTTCTAAAATGATTCGGAGAAGTTTGTGAGTTGGGCATGGTGGCTGTGTGCTTGTTTAGCATGCACAAGGTCCTGGCAGCTCCAGTACAGGGACAGAGAGGTAGTCAGAGTTAAAAAACCTGCTAGTCTTAGGCTAAAGAATAAGAAAACAGGAATCTTTGGAACTCTGGCTTCAGAAATGGCACAAAATGGAATGGACAATAATGAAAGGTAGATAATGGGTCCACAGTGATTTAATTCTTGGTGATATTGTTCATTTTATGCAAATACCAAAAAATGAAGAAAAGGCCTGGCTATTTGAAAATAAAACAGGAATACCCCCAAATATTTAGTGTTTGATCAAATGAGACCTTAGCCCCTCACACATATGACAAGAGAGTTAAAACAAATATAGATGTTAAATAAAAGGCCCAGCTACCAAAGAGCAAAATTTAATGAAAGCCAGAACTGTTAAGTATGGAATCCTGTTGAGAAAAAGGTCAATCTCTTTCAGAGTTTTCCCACTGTTCCATTTTTAAGAAAAGTGTAGTAAAAATACATAATACAAGGTAACTTCTCACTTCTTTTTTCTCTTTCTACACATTCCTTGGTGAGAAGCATCTTCCCTGGAGTCATGGACCCCTCCCAGCACAGACCCTCATTTCCAGCACAGTCATTCTCTATCCAACCAGTAGGCTCAGGGGCTGGAGAACATCTTCTCAGGCCTTAGGCAAGAGGTCTTTGAAGCAGCTGAAAGTAGAGTTTAGATCCATCTCTTCCTGGGTGCAGACTCCCCAGTGGCAGGTCACACAAGAGTCTACAGTGATAGGCAGGCGGCTGGGAGGACAGCTGGCAGAAATAAAAGGTGATAATCCATCTCCAGTACACTGTTTCACATGCCATGCCCATGTTAACACCAGAGAAACTGAACAATGGGGTGAAGGGTTGATTCTGGATGTTTCTTTGCTATGGCTGACGAAGAGGGAATGAGAGAGACACAGAGATAGTGGTTGTCCACTGAGAGCATCCACAGAGGAAGCTAATTCTACTGCCATGAACCCTGGGAAGGCTCCAAAATCTTCAGCTTGTCCATTGCTAATGATAATCCCTAATATGGAAGATTGTATGGAAGCAGAGGGTAGGAGAACAAGCCAGAATATGGTTATCAGTAATAGCTAGTGGCATATGGCCCTCACTGAAGCATGTACCTGGAAGTGGCTGCAGAAGAGGTGGAAGGCAGTCGCACCAAGAGTGAGAATGGAGGTCCCCATAAAGCTGTATGCCAGGGACTCCCACTTCCACCCAAAGGTTCAGGCAGTCTAGTATCTCTCTTGTTCACTTTTCCTATCTGGCTGTTCTTCACCTTGGTAATTGCATTCATGGGTATAAAGGTTCTCACTATTGTAATGCAATGTCCTTTCTCTGTATTAGCCAGGGAAAAAGTCTCTTTGTGTTAGAGTTAGGAGATGGGCTCAGAACATCTTAAGGTCCCCTGATATCCTTAGCAACTTAACTCATCTCCCTGTTTCTCAAAATTAACTCAGGCTTTGTCTTTCTTTCTTAAGTTCTGATCACATGCTTAAACAATACTTTATTAACACAAACCGCCAGTTCTCTGCATTGACATAACTCACAACTTCATATTTGGTCTCTCAAACCCAGGACAGGAAATAGCACAGAAGGCTCTGTGGCAGGGGTGTGGCTGGACTTTCACAATTCCCCATCGCCTTTCTTTTGCACGTAGCTTGGACAGAACTTCCCCTATGTCAGAGGCTCCATAGAGAGTCCTACTCCATCATGGGGCTTCAGTCTAGATACCAAGCCAAGGCAAGCCAAGGCAAGGCAAGGCAAGGCAAGGCAAGGCAAGAATCATGTGTGACACCTCCCTGGCTGCCAGCTCTTTGCAAGGCTCTATGGGGTTCAGGAGGCCAATTGCCCTTCAGTCACCACACTGCATTTGAGCCTGAACATAGCAGAACAGACTTTTGTAGCTGAGATTGACTTTTCAAAGAGCTGTACCACATTGGTACCCTACAGCCCATGGAATAGCTCTTGTGCATTACAGGAAGCTTCTTCCAAGCAACAATAGATTTCAGAAGGCCTCCTCTGACTACACAGGGCCCAGCCCCTTTCCACCCCTTATCCGAGATGCTCTTCATCGCTATTCTCCGATGAACCAGCATTTAGGTAGTATTCTTCCTGGGGAAGGAAGTCCCCTTCTCCAGTAGTGTCTGTCTCCATCCAAGGTGTGGGCCAAGGGATGGAAGATATCATGGAGAGCTCCCACACTGAATGAATTTGAAGGTCATATATTCCTTTCCTTGCTTATAAGGTAGAACCAGTCATGAGTCTTCAATCTGGAAACTGAAGAGTGATGGGGAGAGGTGGGGGGCTGGGGATAAGAAGAAGCAAAAGGGTCTAACAGAGCCTGCAAACCATGGATATTAGTAAGAAAATAACTGCACACACTAAGACACATTAACAACTGAATTAAAATTAAAAAGTTTGATTTCTTCATTAATATCCCAGTGACTCCATTCTCAGAGATGTTAGACTTCATTGGACAGGGTTTCTCCCATTATTGCAGCATAGAGTTAGTTACCATCTTCACTTTGCAAATGGAAAAGGGTGAAAAAATAATCCCCAAAGGAAAGAAAGGAACAGCCTAGTGGATTTTTGTTTTTGTTTTTAATTCTTCAGGGACATCGGCTGAATTATCCTCCATATGGTCGTGGTGGTTGGAGGTGGTGTTTCATTTTGTTGTTGTTTTTGGCACTGAAGGGCATAGGATGGGACAGGGGAGCCTGAGCCTGCTCCCCAAAGGGTTCCTGTTAGCTCCAGTTACAATCCTGTGGCTCCCAGTGGCATCCCTGAACTGTGACTCATGCAGGGAATGGATTGCATGGACTTGGCGAAGTCCTGGCTGACCACCCGGCCATTTTCTCCACTGCCGCCTCCTCCACTGGCCCCCGCCCCACTGTTTCTGGGGAGGGTCGACGTCCGTATGGCTTCATTGATGGATTGCTGTGGGATCAAACAGAAACCCTTTTCAGGAGGACAGGGGGTTCTTCCCCAGGTCCTTGGCAATGACAGACAAAGAAGACTGAGTCAAGATGGGATTGAAAGGACACCCTTCCCCCACCCTTCCTCCATACTCCTGAGCTCAAGAAACAATGATGTGGGCAGTTCTTGGTAATTCTTATTTCTCCTCTGGTATACTAAGTATTTTTCTAATCTAGGAGTCTAACATTCTAGAAATTACAGGTCAGTAGTCTCAATCTGAGGTTGTCTGTGCTGATAGCATACATCACTCAGACACTGGCCTTGGGGATGCATCCTTGCTCTCTTTGGCACATGATCTTTTTAATCACATTGTACATATCATCTTCCTTAGCCTTTCTGGGGCCTAGGCTTGAATGTGTTAGGAAGCAAGCCCTAAGTTACCTCATTCTGAGGCTCCTGCAGGTGGGGCATTTCCTTGGTGAGGTTGGGAGTGGAGCTTAGGAAATTTGCATCCAGATACCAATACCTAAGCTAGCTAGGTTCTGTGATCAGGTTCCTTTTTTTTTTTTTTTTTTTTTAAATAACTTTTAAACCTCCATGTCTGTAACACGTACTATCTAGGCAAGCTACAATCTCCCTCCTTGCCCCTTTCTTCTCCTCATTCTCCCTTCTCTTTTCCCTGCTCTTCTTCTTCCCCCTCTTTCCTTCTCCCTCCTCTTCCTCTTTTTTTCTGCCTTTGCCTCCTTCTCCTTCTCTACCTGTGTCTATGAAGAGTGGCACTACTGCACAGAGTATGCTTTGAGATATTAAGGGAGAGTGATAATATGTTTTTGTTGAGTTCAAATGATCTTCTGGAAGAGAGGCCTCCTAGCTCCACATGATAAGGGCAGTTAGGAGTCATTTGAATAAGACAATTCACAAAATGTAACCAGCAAGCCTCATGTGCTCAAAAGAGTGAGGCTGCATCTCCCAAAGCCTTCATCTGTGTACCACCTGCTTCCTGCCAGCCTGAACAATCTGCAGGTCTAGACTGACACGTTGCCTCCGTGTTGTACATCTCATGGTTTCTAGCCTGCTGGAATTCTAGGTCTGGGAAAGATTCAAGGATCACTCTAGCATCAGTGCTGTCAAGCAGAATCTAGGTCCTGGATCCTATCCTACTGGACAACAGGAAGCATTGTTCTGTTTGAATTCCTCTGGAGAAGGAGCTCTGTGGCATGAAGACTCCACTCTATCCCTTGCCACCATTTCTGATTTCACAGAATCTTAGGGCTGAGGTCTCATTTCTTTGTAGGAATGAGCATCCTAAGAAGAGCTGTCTGTGGGTTGAGACACTTCCTCTGCTAAGACAAACCTTCCATATTCTCCAGAGTACATTCTGCTTAGCTTTCTCCCTGAAGTCCCTCATCACCTCAGATGACAGCAAAGGCTTTCACTTACTGTGTGTGCATCATATATTCTCGTGTATGTAAATTTGTCACCTTAGAGAACGGGCTCTTATTCCAGGGAGCCCAGAACCATGCTTTCACAACCCATGGTTATCTTGATTGGCCATTACCAGATAGTTTGTAAAAATAAGATATTCTTGAATTTATTTAAGGAAAAAAAAATAGAATCTTTTCCAAAATACCTGGGCTTTGTTGCTGTGACCCAGAGAGCTCATTCTGTCTTTTGTAACTAGATGGGCACAAACAGTTTGATATTCTTTGTTTTTTTTTTTTCCTTGCTACTCATTTCTTACTGGACAGTCTAACACTATTTTAAAATATTCTTCCTTTATGAACTCTGTGATTTATCTGGAGTGTGTTGTTTAAAGGTTTAAGCAGGGATGAAGTGGGGTGGGTTAACCAAAATTAAAGATGTATGGAAACTCACTATTTTTTTAAGCTAATTACAGGCTGGTGATATGGATCAGCAGTGCATGTTTGTACTGTGGAGGACCAGAGTTTGATTCCCAGCACCCATGTCTGGTGGCTTATAGCTGCCTGTAGTGACTCCAGCTCAAGGAATCTGCTGCTGTGGCCTCCACAGGTATCTGCACCCACATGCACACACCAATGCAACACTTACACATAATTAAAAATAATAAAAGCTTAAAAGTAACTAAAAAGAGAAAGTGTTTGAAGGAAGGTACCTGATGTGGGTGGAAAAATACCCCCCAAAAAAGATAAGAGTATTTATATGAAAATCTCATTACCAGGCATGGGTCACCTCCCTTTGGGTTTTTGGTCAGAAAGACTCTGAAGGCCCCCAAACAACACAGGCAATTACACTTGGATGTTGTTGCTGAAGACACAACACACTTTGGTTGCAGGACATCAAGCCAGAACTGATCTATTAACTTTCTGCTGACCGGCTTTCATAGTTCTAGAATGTGCCATGTTAGACCATTGTGGGAGAAAGGCCATCAGTGAATGTACTTGGTGGTGAACCCTGAATGCTACAATACAGGCAAGATATGTCTCCTGGTAGAATAGTGACATGAAGGTTGGGGGTGGTAATCAACCATTTTATGATTTGATCTGAGCCTTGCTTCACAGGATTTAATCCATGCCTGATACTGTAAATCCAAACAGAAGCCTATGGTTCTAGATCCTAGGGGAGAAACCTGTTGTTGCTTTGCTAAATAGACATGTAAAACCATCTTCTCAATGTCTGTATTTATACCCATAGAGTAGTGCTGTTCTTAACTTCACCCAGATAATTTTCTTTTTGCAGTAGTTAGCAGTTAAAGCAGAGACTTGTAATTGATCAACATGCTAAGAATTAGTGACTGTGAGTATTCAGCTGTACATGGGATGTCTATACCAATCTGTCCTCCCCAAGGGTCAGTGTACACCACAGATAAGGGAGGAAAAAGAATGCAAGAGCTGGAGGATGGGAGCAGTGCTGTGAGATGCTGTCTCTTGGACACAGCATGGCCACTGCTCTAGTGAGCTCACTGCAGCTGAACAAGAATCTGTGCCATATCGAGCCAACAAGATCAGTCAACATTCCATCAAGTAGCACTAATTGGACTCAGTGTGTTCTCAAAATAAGAACAAAAACAAAAAAGGGGGGAGAACATGAAGGTAGGTGGGAGATGTGTTGGTTAGTATCCAAAGGAGAGAGAGAGGGTGAGTTGGAGGTGGATGTGATCAAGACATATTGTATGCATGTATAAAATTATCAAAGAATAAATACAAGATATTTAAAAAAATAAAATCCATGATTCAGACAGATTCCCCCCATATGATGTTCTGCCCACGCTGATTCTATCTCTTCCTCAAGCCCTGGGACTTAGTTTATTTACATCCTCCCCTGGCATCCCTCCACTGAAGAGGAAGTGTGATTTGGATTGCATTCTTTTGAGTCAAAGGCCAAATAAATACAACCACAATGCTACACAGGGGAAATCTGAGCTGAGAACAGGAAGAATTAATGATTACTGATTCTTACAAAAAAAAATGTTGAAAAGAGAATAACATTTTAATTGTATCAGTAGAAAAACATAGACCTTTCTGGAATGTAGCTTGAAATCTAACCTTCAAGATTTTGCCCTACTATGCTCCTTTAAAAAATTCTCTCTGTCTCTCTCTCTCTCATGCTCATGGACACATACACAGGCACACAAGTGAGCATGATGGTCACAGGGCAACCTCCTGTCATTCTCCAGGAACTGTCCACCTTGTTTTTTTAAGACAAGATTTCTCACTGGAACACAAAGTTTGTGGACTCATCTAGGCTGGTTAAAGCTCTCATAGATTACTGTGGACTGTCTTCCTCAAAAGTCTCAAACATTCTGTAATATCTCTCTACAGAGTTGGCAAAGCATGAATTTATGAAGGACAAGGTTAATGGCATACTTAACACCAGAGCCTACAAAAATCTGAGACAAATTCCGCATGTAACTAAGACTTTCCAATGTTAAAACATCAGAGCCATTTTCTCAGGAAGCTGAGGGCTTCCTAGAGCATACCCAGTCACAGGTGGGCACTGGCATCCTACAGGCTCCTTGCTGATGCATTTATGAATCTTGGAGATGAGAAGACAAGAGCCAGAATGCTGGGATGGAAAGCAAGTTAACAACCAGTAAACCTCCAGTTCTCAAACTGCACTGTACTTTGGAATCCCAGGATGGGGTGGGGATGTCTGAACTGATGTTTGAATCCTGACCTACCAATGCTGAGTGAGTAGGTGTAGCCTGGGCATTTAACTCTTTAAGCTTCCCAGGTGATCCTAAAATAGAAGTCAAGTTGAATTATCTACTGTTCTGATCGTTTTGAAGAGAGCCTGACATGTATGTGATTGACTTGTTTAAGACAACAGTCATCTGAGACAGTGACAAAGCAGATGATCTATTCACGATGGTTCTTGTACTCTCCCAAAGCTAACAGATGATCACTAACATAATGCCTACCCTTGCCTTCAAGAGGGCAACTTTCTGTTGCCCCTTCCTTCTGTTGCCCCTTCCAGCTGTTCTTAAGCACATCCTTAAAGTTGCTGTTCTGAAACTGAGGCTCAAGGAGAGAAGAGTGAATGGAAAGTCCAGCTACAATGTCCCCTAGTATGGTCCTTTGAGACTTACTTCTGCAGTGGTGGCCACATTCTACTTCCCAGAGGCTATTCTAATGAGAGTTCAGGTTTCATTAATGACTCCACTGAGCATGCATGGAAAGAAGTGGTTGAGCAGGAACCTTGGAGGATGCTTTCTCTGTGTTCAGCCTCTCAGCTGCTCATCCATTCTAGGCAAGTGTACAGACCCTATAGTGTTGTGGATTAAGCATACAATGTGTTGGCACAGGTACATGCAATTTTAAAAGATCAGCTGCTCTCCTGTGCGTTGGGGAGGCTGGGAATTAATTTCCCCTGGGAGCAAAGTAGCAAATGATAACAATCTTGATTTTACTTAATATCAGCCAAGGACAAAGATTCTATTCTGTTTTCCCTGGCAGAGGAGAAATGCAAAGTCTGTGAGGCTCTACTCAATTCAAAATGTGCCTTAGGTGAGGCTTTTGTCCATGACTGTTTAAGTTCCACTAGGATGTCCTGGGTTACCTAAAGTCTCTGAGTCCCCAGCTCCTACATTGCTAATTTAGTATTTCTGTGTGAAAGCTTTACTGGTTTCCAGACATTCCAGGCAAGAGTTTTAGTGTCTGGGTCTCTGACCCTGGTCATCCTTTGCCGGCCTCTCTCTGATCTTGGCTAATTCACTCCTTGCTGCAACCAGGTTAAACACCACTTTTCCAGAGACACTATCTGACCACCGGCTCTTGGGTCTCTCATTAAAGGCAAGTCCTGTGCATTTTCTTCCCAACATCACTATCTAGCAGGTCGATCAATGTTCACCAATGTCTGCCTTCCCCATGAAACTCCAAGATGGGGACCTGTGTCTGGGTTGTTCATGGTTGCATCTCCTTTGCTGAGTATTGTCCTTCCTCTTCCCCCATGACACATGTGTCCTGTTCATGACATATCAAAGGGCAAAGAGTGTCAAGAAGACTCAGTCGAGAACCCATGCTGAAGGTTGCTTAAGGACACAACTTGAGTAGTGAGATACTTTTTTGTTTGTCTTTGTGACTGGCACTATAACCAGCACTTGAGGGACATAAGGCAAGTGACTCTCTCTCTCTCTCTCTCTCTCTCTCTCTCTCACACACACACACACACACACATATACACACAACTGTATCACCCACCTATCTATCATCTATCTATCTATCTATCTATCTATCTATCTATCTATCTATTATCTATCTATCTATCTATCTATCTATCTATCTATCTATCTATCATCTATCTATGTATCTCAATAGTGAGAAGCTTAGTAGCATCTTGGCTAAAACCAAAAACCTGGCTCTATGGAGGCTTTGTTCACTGTCTAATTCCCTTCATACAAGTCATACTAGCTCCTGGCTTATGTGACCTTGCTTGCTCCCACACATCTCCTATCTACACTTTTTATTAGCCTGCAGATTCTCATGAATATACCGCTTCACTAATGAAAACAAGGGGGTATAATACCTCAATATAAAAGTCCCCAGTTTTCCTTCCCTCTTTAACCTCTTCCTGCCCTTTCTCCCTTTGTTCTCACTTTTCCTCTTCCCTTATATGGTGACTAGAGAAGGTCTCTTAGAACTTCTGAGTCACAGGATGTGAGCCTAAGCTGGTTTAGGGGTTCCTGTCTTTCAGAGTAGATAAACATTGTGAGCAAGGAAAGACAGGATGGAAAGTATTTCCAAAGACCCCGTCACTTCCATCTGCATCCCGGTGTAGCTGCCGACTGTACTTCTGAACAGAGCTAATTGCTTTTGGGGGAAAGCAAAGCATCTCATTATGAAGCCCAAGGAGTGACTGGAGTGCTTTCCACTTATCTCTTCTAGATAAGAGAGGAATTGATGGAGCTTTTGGAAATGAAGGGCCAGCTAGACTAATAAAGAAAATAGCTCCCTTGAAGTGGAAAGATGGAAAATTCTATTAGGAATCCTGGGGTTTGGTACAGAAGTCATAACAATGGATGGAATTGTTTATAGGGAACTGTGGTGGATAGAGAGTCTTGGGTTAATGCTTCTGGGGGACCCTGACAGCATCTGAGAAATTAAAGAACTACATTGTAAAGGGAGGTGTGGGAATGTCTCTAAGACATGGTACTATGTCCAATGGCCTCATCAAAATACTCTTGTCATCTAAGACTTCAGTGTACCTTTGGTGGGGCAGGTCAACAGTTTGAAATCCAGCCCGAAGTCAGTTACCTGGATTAGTGGAAATCTCTATAAACCTAGAGAGAACTGGGCATTCAGGTGGTTCCCTGCTTGGTGGACACCAAACCAAATCATGGTTGATGAACACCCATAGGTGGGACCAAAACCACCTTGAGGGGAAACACACCCTTGGGGTGTATTGTATTGCTTAACCTAGGAGCAACTTTCTCTCATGCCTCCTTCCTTGTTCCAAGAGATTTTTCTCTTCTGGACATAATTCTACATTAACTTGACTAAATATATTTATCCTATAGCCATAGTCTGTTCTTTAAGGGCTTATGGTCTTAAGGATTTTTGAGCATAGCTCAAAAACAATTTAGTTCATGTAATTAATAAGATTACATGCTAATAAATAACTATTAATAAAAGGAGGTTTGAGGGAAGCTGTAACTGTTAATAATGGCTGTTATATATGTTAGTGATCACCACTTTTCTTATTTATTGAGAGCATGCTGTGACATGGGCCTCCTGGCAACCATTTAATCTATTATTTTGTATCCTCACAACAAATTTATGAGGTATATACCATCTCTGTTTCCATTTTTACAATAAAAATAAAGATCAGAAAGTAATTAAAACTTGTCTGAGGTGACAGAGTTAAGAAACAGAATGGATGGACTCATGCCAGACTCTCAGCTCATACATCTCCTCAGGACACTATGTCCTGGGGCACCATGAAAAGGAACTTTTGAGAGCTGGCCAGTATGAGCTCTGGGCCTCTGGTCCATGGGGAAGGGGTAGATAGAGGCTTGCAAAGAGCATAACTGGTCTGAGCCCCTCTTTTCTGTTTGAACAGCTGTTCTATCTCTTTGGACAATAAGAAGGATAGTCTGTAGGTTTATGTTTTGGATGGAATTGGCAAATAAAGCTTTGCTTAGGGTTCAGGGGTCCTTGCTAAATCCTTCCAAACTCATGGGAGGGTTTAAGGTATAGAATCAGTAACTGTGTTGTGGTCTGCCTTTTCCAACAGAATGTAGAGGCGCAAGAGCTGGTCAAGGGAAGATTGAGTTGTGCTTAAGTTCTATAGACAAAAGCTCTCACACTTCTAGTCCTTCATTGTTCCTGTTACCAGACTGTGGGAAAGTGGCTTTTATAATAGGCCTCATGAGGTAGAGGGCAGGATGAAGAATTGGCTTGCACAGAACACACAGGGGCTGGGACATGGTGGGAGGAGGGAAGCAGATTGCCAGTGGGGAGGCAGCTGGAACCATTATGTGGGAATGCTGAATGCCAGGACAGAAGGTCTTAATACTAGGATGGAAAGCCCTTTTGTTACTACCCTCATTCCTTCCATACAAAATCTAACACTGAATTTTCAAGCAAGGGACTGACTAGAGATGTCCTCCCCAGTACTGACTCAGGATGTACATAGGTATCATGGCCAACGACAGAAGAGGCTGGTCAGGAGCTTGTGCTAGTTAGTGATTCAATGATGTGTGTGTTCTGCTTAAGAGGAATTGAATTATTGACAAAGGGGGTCTTTAGGGCACATTAGAGGAGAGTAAACCCCAGGAGTAAATTGTATTCCATCTAATCAAGCTAAGGAGAGAGCCCAGGCCAAGATACTTGCTGTTCAAAGCTCACAGTGACCCAGTTTCTCTTCTTAGTTTAAAGAAGGCTTGTTATTAATTTTTGCTGTTTGCCACAAGTTTTCTTTAATTCTTCTTCCTCTAATTTCCTATAGACTGTACTGTCTGAACCACATCTTTTCTTTCCGTGTGTGTGTGTATGTGTGTGTGTGTGTGTGTGTGTGCGTGTGCGCATGAGCGCATGTTTGCATGTGTATGTTTAGGTCAGAGGCTGATATTGGAAGTCTTTTTCAAATGCTCTTTGCATATATCTATCTATCTATCTATCTATCTATCTATCTATCTATCTATCTACCTACCTACCTATCATCTATCTATTTATCTATTGGGTCTTTCCCTGATCCTAAACCTTGTGGATCTGGGTAGGTTGTTTGACCAATGAGCTTCCGGGGTTCCCTTGTCTCTCCTTCCCTTCTCCAGTGGGGGGGTCATAGGTGTACCTATGATACATAGGTGCAACCCATTTTTACATGGGTGCCAAGACTCTGAACTTAACACCTCATATTTGTGTGCCAGGCACTTTACCACACGAGCCATTCCCTAGCCCTGAGCACTTTTCCATAGCCATTTCTTGTCGAAGTTCAAAGGTTTGAAGGTCATAGTTGGCACCTAAGTTCTCTGCTTTTTTATGGTGCTAGTCACATGACTGTCTTCCATATATGTTTCCCCACTAGGGCTAATGATGCCATTGAAGCACTGTGCAATGTGTCAACTCCCAGCTTCCCTGGCATGCTTTCATCTCCATCTTTGCTAAAAACCACTTGTCCTCTTCTCACACAGCACCAGCAATGACGAGGTCCCTGTTTACTGGGATGGTCTGTGTGCTCCTCTGTTAGAGAAATGGGTTTTGCATGTTGTATTCACATCTGTTTTCTGTTTTTGTTGCATTCTTTGGAACTCTATAAGATTAGCTTGCTTTTCTTCCTACTCAAAAAGTTTCCATATTTTTCCTGGCAGCTCTTCAGTCCTCTCTAATTCTTCCTGTCCTCTGCTGCCTTCAGCTCTTTTTGGTGTGGTCTGGGTTATTGAGCTAATCTGCTTAGCTTTCTCTATGGATGATTCTGTCTGCCATGGAAGCTAAAAATGGACCCAATTCACCAAGCATGGAGGACTGGGTAGGCATGCCTTCCCTCATCTGGACATTATTTCAGAAAATCAACCTCTCACTGTGCTGATTGAACCCTGACCTCTAATCTCACTGACCTGTCTGTCCTGTCTCTGGAAAGATGCACTTGCTATTTTGGGCCCAGTATTCGCCAGACACACCCCATGTCTTCCCTTTCTTTTGGCTCTCCCCTTCTTTTTCAGTTTCTTTCTGATTCTGCTCTGTTCCCTGGATGGCCTCAACTTGCCCCTTTCTACCTCTTTGAGCAAAATTCCTCTCAGGAAACCCAGCTGTGCCACAGAGAATGGGGTAAGAAAAAAGACCCAGGAAGACGATGCCACCTTCATCCGCTTCGACTCGCTACGTGATTTGTAGCAGAACTCGATTAAGGCAACCAGCATGGCCAGTCCCAGCCCTCCAATCAGGATGTAGAATACGCCTGCCACATTGCTGAGGCTCAGAGCACTTGTTTTGTCCTAGAGGAGGATGTGGGAAAGGAGGGGAGGGGAAAAAAGAAAGTGAGTCAAGATGCTTGAGGCCATTGAGGCAGCAGCAAATTAACACACATACACTCAACCCCACCCCCCCTCCTCAGCTTTCACAGTTGGAAATTGCTTGTATTGAGTTCACAACATTCCCCAGGGGAAAGGGGAATGCATGTGTGTTTATGTACATATAAAACAATCTGTGATTGTGTTGAACTTCTAATTACATTACCTCCCTCCTCAATGTCTTTTCTGGGACAAAAGATACCACAAAAATTTAGGCCAGATTTGGTAAGATAGGAACCCTTGAGCTTAACCAATTCTTTTAGGAAACTCTTCCCTTTAGCTCCACATCTACCTCATCTCTGTTGCTTGGCAACACGTCAGTCTCCATCATTGTACATGTCTCTAAGTGTTTTGCTGGGAGTTGGTATTAAAGTGAACTTTCCCCTAGGTGTGCATTTGATTTCAATTTAATAAGACAGCTCTCAAACACATAATAAAGGCAGAGGGACGCATACCTTTAATTGACTGCTCTCAGTCCTAGTTTAAGGGGAAACCTGGCGGGAGGGGGGCTTAGATAGGCAGGAAGGCACTGAGCTAGAAAAATGGCTCTATTAAATCCTAATAATTATGCTTAATCAGTGTCATTTCTTTTTTCTATTGGAGGTGCTTTCTACAATTGCTGTAGGTAGACCTGGGTGACTGAATTTAGAAATCTCAGTTGCCTGTAGTAAAAGATACTCTGCTGTTTTCAGAGATGCCAAGCCACGAAGGAGGGATTCCCAGAAGCCTGGGGAAAAGTTCTGATGTTCGGCAGGAGGGAGCAGAACCCAGCCTGTGGAGCCTGTGGGTACCACTGATGTGGAAGACTATCCTTGAGTCCTGTAACATCCTATGTGCTTCAAGAATAGGGGAGTGAAGGAGAACACTGTTTCAGGCAGTGAGAACACTAACTCAAACTACTGTCCACAGTGGAAGGCCGCTGCCAAGGAAGTGAGGGCATCATCTCACTCGATTCTTGACACAGGCAAAGAACGCTTTTAGGTCTTGGAAGAATGATCCTCCCCAGTTCTTACAGTGGCTCTTGACTCCCTTGTCATCTCATGTTAAAGTGTTTCATTAAATCCAAATGAAATGCACGTGTCAGCTGGCACAGGGATATGGCATTGGTGGCTGACTGGGGGCACAGGATAGGATGGGTGGCATTTCACTTCTCTGTGTGTCATTTTTCAGGTGGAGATCCAGATGAGCCCCATGAAGGGTGGGCTGCATGGTCCTAGTAGCTGTTCTGACATTTACCTAGGAGAATCTGGGCAGGTGGAAAGGGATTTCTTATCGCCCAGGTCAAGAGCCTTTGCCCCATTTCTATTTGATGCAGTGTTCAGGGTTCTTGGTGGTGCAGGGTTCAGATGGCAGGTAGCGGCTTGCCTCCCTACTCTGGAAATAGCCCCAGCCATCAGAGCCATGGGATTATCCTCAGCAACCCCTCTGTGGCTTCTTGTGTGGTTATAACAGACAGTTCTCAAATATGTATTACTTTTGGCAGTGCTTAGCCTAGCTCTCTGGGCAGACGGAATAATTATTCAAGGAAGTAAACTTTTTGCCTGTCTGAGGTTATAGCTTGAGAAGAGAAATGTGAAAAATGGATTCAGCACTTCGTTCAGGGACTGGTGGAACGTGTAAATTCCCACTTTGTGTGATTTTTATTTTCAGAACACACAGTCTTTCAGAAAAGATTGTAATTCTTAGGGGTCCTCAACAGAAATTCCTATAAAACTCCCTTGTCTGGACAGTGGCATGAGTGGGCAGGGTGGGGAGACATCTTAAAGCATCACCAACTTGCACCTTAGCAAGGACTAGGTAAGTGTGATGCTGAGAGGAAGTGAATGGGGGGGGTGGGGAGTCCTGGGAAAGAAGGATGGAGGCTGCCTGCTTTACAAGCTCACACTTCATCCAACAGCTAAAGTACATCTTGCCTTGTCTGTCACTAAGGCTAATGAATTATAGACACTTCTTAATGGTGTCCCTAAGTTTGATGTTGTTGGAGAGGACTTCAAAGATAAGGGGATGGTGGATCCTATTTTTTTGTTACTGTCTCCACATTGCTCTGTGATTGTGTCTGCCTTCCTGGCCATCCATCTGTGGTATATTTGTGAGACAGATAGAGTTAAATGTCAGGTAGAAGTGAGGGAAGATCCATGTTCCGTACAACCATAGAAAGAAGAGGGTTGGGTGACTGGGCATCTGGTGTGTCTGGAGTACAGATTTTTCATCACTGTCTTCTTTCTTTTTCTGGAGTTAGGGATTGAACCTCAAGCCTTGAGCATGCTAGGCAAGCACTCTACCACTGAGTTGCAGCCCCATCCTTTGTATTTGTTTGCTGGAGACAGGATTTTAATATAGAGCCTGGGTTGGTTTTGAACTCACTGAGTAGCCTAGTCCAGCCTCCACCTTCTGATCATCCTGCCTAAATTTCCAAAGTTCTGGGATTATAGGTGTGCATTACTTCAGTCAGCTCCTCTACCTATGAAGACCTCTGGCCCAGAGAATTGGCAGCATGTGTGAAGATAGCTTGATGGTGTAGTACTTGTATCCCTTTTGGCAGATCAGTACCATAGACTCTGCTATGCTGATTCTGTTCTGCAATAACAGAGGCCAGGGAAAATTTCTGGAATCAAAGGGGAATATGATCTTCACTGTTTCCAATACCAAACATGATAGAATGGCCTAAATTTGGCATGGTTTAGTGGAATATGTGATGGGGAGCTAGTGTTGCTATGGTTTTAGTTTAGGTAGATTTACATTTAGACAAGGTTTGTGATTTCTTTATGTGTGCCATTAGCTTTGTGTATGCATAGACGTATGCATTTTTGTTTTTGGTAGTGCAGGGGATTGAACCCAGGGCCTCATGTATGTTAGGCAGGTGCTCTGTGGCTGAGTCACAGCCCTACCTCACCATTATTAGCTTCAGGGAGAGCATCAGATTTAGATCTTTCTAAGGAAGCTTGAGGTCTTCTGGCCTATTGCCATCACTGACCTTTTTTGACACCCATTGTTGGAATATAATGGGATATCCCAGAGCAGGGACAAGTATTCTTTTATTTAAAGACTGGAGCTTTGACTCTTTTATGATCCACTGTGCACATAAAAGGGCACTTGTGTAAATAACAATTGTCCCAGTACATGGCAAACTGCAGGGTTCCAGCTCTGATGGGGGAGGGAGGAGATGGGGTTGGGGTCTTCCAAGTGTTCTCTGAAACACCCCTGTTCTCTTTCCATTCACAGAAGATGCACTCCCCCAGAGCTAGGCAGCTTGCTGGTAGGAGGGAAAAGTCACAACTTGTCTCCCGCCAGGAACAGATAGGGTGACAGCGCTGAAGAGTGATGGGCGAAAAGAATAAAAGAAAGGAAAACCTAAACCTTGGGACTCTCATCTTGCAGAATTGTTGGGTTGGTTGTTATGGTGATGACCCCAGCTCCACAATCTGTTCTCCTGAACCTGTTGTCTTCAATTTGCCACTTCCCTTCTTTGGAAGAGAGAATCTCCCACCATCGTGTACGGCCCCATGCTCTTCCCACTGGTGGGGAGCTGTCCCAGATTCCTTGTTTTTTTAGCCAACACCTCTTCCAAGAATGTTCAAGACCTTCCAAGATTTGGTCTCCAGGAGGAAGACTGAGCACAGGCTTGAGGCTTTTTCTTTCTGGCCTAAGTGGAAAGTTCTAGAAGAATCCTATGCCTTTGGCCATGAGAGCAGTGGCTCCCACTGAGACTAGTGCTGCCAACCACCTGAGATCTGCTGGGCCTGGACCATGTGCTAGTTTCTCCAAAGGTCTTTCTTCTTCTCATCTATCAGAATCCCACAGCTTCCAGGATGCTTGCTTTCAGTGGGTATTCTGGACCATTCCCAAGCCTTTCACATGCTGACTCTGTAACCAGCTTTCTTGTACAGTAGGTTGTTTTTTCTGTCGTGTTCGTCCCAGAACTTACCTATCTGGACTTAGAAAAGATTTAAGGCATGGCAGTTTCCTGGGAGAGTCAGGTGATGGCTGGGTAAGGTCACTCACCAGCTGAGATCCAAAGGGAAAGCTGCCGGGAACAGTATGAACCCAACTAATGGACTCCATGCAGACACACAAGCCTGTTTGAAGGCAGCTTGAACCACCTTGGTAGAGATGAAAACTTCCAATACAGGTGCATTTTGGAAAAAGCTGGCAGGAATGTGTGTGTGAGGGATCCAAGTGCTACGACCTTTGACATTCATCCCAACCCCAAGAGATCTGATATCCAAGAAGATCCTCAACGACCTGAGGAGATCACAGCCTTTAAAAAGTTGTCCCCAGAGCCTTGTCCCTTTAGGGGATGCAGAAGTGGAAGTCATGTCAATTGGCGGTGTTTGCTGCTCCATTTCCAAAGTAGGCCGGTTCCCTAGGCTGCAGATTTTCCCCCAAGAGCAGTACAGGATGAGAACTGGCCCACTGTACCAATAATTGTCAAGGCAAACACTGTGTAAGTGATGGCTGTGGGGGCAGCTCTTCTTAGCAGCCTGTGCTCAGGGACCGCCTGCTGCACAGTGTACAAGGGACACAAGGGATGTCCTGACTCCAAACACAGTAGCAGCTGAGGATGCAAGAAGACTGTGTGGGTTGTGGAGGGGAGTTCAAGCTCTGGCTGAAGCTAAGGCCTCTTCCAAAACGGGAGGATTTTTTTTCCCTCCAGAAACAAAAGCCTGAGTCTCAGACTGACATGGGTGTCATTCTAGGGAGCCCTCAGCAGGAACTGGATGTCTGATTGGACTT